GTCACAAGCTGGCAGAGGGTAGGTTTAGGTTAGACATCAGGAGGCGCTACTTCACTGTCAGGGCGGCTAGGGTCTGGAACCAACTTCCAAGAGAGGTGGTGCAGGCTCCTACCCTGGGGGTTTTTAAGAGGAGGTCAGATGAACACCTTGCTGGGGTCGTTTGACCCCAGTACTCTTTCCTGCCATGGCAGGGGTTCGGACTAGATGATCTACTCAGGTCCCTTCCGACCCTAGAAACTATGAAACTATGTAAGCATCATACATGGAATGCTTTTTGTACATCTTCACAGTGGTCCTGTAGAAGCTGTTATTTTATGCTTCAAGGCAAATACACACACAAATGTAGCTTTCCAGAAAACCAGAGTAGTTGTAAAGCTACCTCTACTGATACACTTGTGTTCCTATATTAGAAGATGTGTGCAATACTGCATGTCTTTCTGCGTAACTTTCAACCTAATTATACAAACTTTTGAAAAAACAATCTCTAGGGACATCTGCCAATTGACTGTAACAGTTGTTATTTTTTTAAACAGTATTTTATTATTAGAAACTAACAGTATCTTGAAAGAAGAATTCTGAAGGATGTTCAGCTCAGTTTAACTACAGCTTCTGCTTCAGGCACAATTTTTCCAAACTTTTATATTTCAGGTTAAGTCATGGAATATTTTCACATTGAAATTGAGACTAGATACAAACATTTGCTGAAAGCATTGTCAGATCAGGAGTGAAAGATTTTAAATCAGGCAATGTCTATTAATGGATGCCTGAATAGGCCTTTTGTGGCCCTGTCATTTCTCAGGCACACAATCTTTGTAGCAAGCAAAATGCATTAACCATTTCTGTTTTGACCTTGTAATTTATAATATTGTTCCAAAAATGCATGCTAAATTTAGATGTCTAATTCTTCTTTCAGGGCCCCAATAATGCAAACACTTATACAGGTGATTAATTTTAAGTACACATCTTTTGCTTATAATTAAGCATATTCTGAAATATTTGCCAGATCAGGGTCTACACAGCCTGATTTTTCAAATCTACTTCATACCAGTTCTCACTGAATTCTGCATTTAAGATACAACATATGTAACAAGTACTTAACTTGAACATGTTGAATGATCCTACTTTCTGCAGCGGGACTGTTCACATGCTTAAACATATTGCTGGATCAGAGTCTTAGTAGGATAGGGGATCTATCTGCAAAGCTCAGATTCTACAAAAAATTATGCCCGTGATTAATTTTACATGCTTGAGTAGGCTCACTGCCAGGTAAACACATGTGCAAACGTTTGCAGAATCAGGGATTTCAGGTGTAGCATAAATGAATTCTGATTACTAAGGCAGGAAAAAAAAATCAGGCATTCATGTATTTTGCCACCTACAACATTTACATTTACTGCTTCCAACCTAAAAAATAAAAGCAGGCAAACAAACCCTGCCCAGTAAAGAAATCATTTTAATGCATTTATTCTTTTAAAAATATCATCATAAGAAAAATCATTAAAGCACCATGAATGACTATTTTAATGGCTATATTTCAATACAAAAGAAAAGAATATTGACTTAACAACCATTATACTCTCAAAGGCAAAAAATACAATTTACAGTGCATATTGAAATCACGTTCAGCCTAGAAAAGTATCTTCTGTTGAATTTAATGTTTCCTTTTCAGATCTGACCACCACCATCCTTTACAAAATTACTTTTACATTGTTATTGCATGTTACAAGGTATAATTTTTTAACTTACTGTTTTTGAATAAGCATCTCAATGACTCAACTCCTGGGCTGTGTTTGAATTGTGTTGAGCAACTCAAGAAAGTGGGCAACTATTAGGGTGAATACAAAGGTAGAGTGTTTCCTGAGGACATGCGAGGTGGGACTTCCAGATGTCCTTCAGACTGAATTTCCACATCTGGGTATAAAGAAGTCCTGGCCATGTCCTTTTTCCTCAGACACATTCTCTGTCCTCGAGACACTTATAGTAATCCACTGTAACAGGCCTATGACCTTGTAGGATTCTTTTATGAATTTTCATTCACACCCTGAACTGGTTTCAGGCTACTTTGCATCACCAGAATGACGCTAAGATATGAATGGCAGAATAGCCCAAATGTTGCAAGCTCAAGAAACTAAAATTCTGGGGTGAAAAATGTGGACAATGGATGTGTACCTAGATGGACTAGAATAATGTATCCTTATTTAGAAATAACCACCTTTGCACGGGGGTCTTAAGTCAGTTTCAGCATAATAAAATGTTACGGTTTAACAGCTTGTTTTGACTATAAATCTTATTCTTTCAGTTTCTCACCAAAAACAGACAAAACCCATAGTTAGATGTCATCAAAGAGATCCTCCGGCTCAGCAGTATTTTTTGGTATTTCCAAAGACATCTTGATTGAGTGCTTGCCTCTTGCCTCTGGTGGATCAGGATTAGGTCTAGAAGTTAAAATAATGATATTTCTAAAAACAAATGTAGATGCACAATTAAGAAATCAGGCACTAACACAGAAAAGTCAATCCTTTGTCTATTCAGAGATCTTTTGTTAAGGTTCAACATAGGATCAACATATACATGTAAAACATTGCTGAGATGTCAGTGTGTCTCTAAGTTTGCTAGGTGAGACTCTGGAGATTTGGAGTGAGGTGCTAGCCACATGCTGATGCCACCCAGCCATGGGTGAATCTAGGATTTACTCTTCAGTAAATCCTAGATTTACTGAAGAGTAAAAAACAGTATGCAGGTGTTGCATACTGTTCCTCAACAATGGGAACATGGGGCTGAGGTATGGCTGCAGCCCCTGGGCCAGCAGGGGATACTGAGAAGCTGGGCTGGAAGCAGGTGACCAGAAAAGGGGTGGACCTACCCCTCCACCCACTGCCACCGTCCCTGGCTGACCTGGGGGTGCAGGGGTGGGAAGAATGACTCCTGCCCTGCTCTAACTGGGGGGATTTGGGGAACAACTGAGTGAGCAGCTGTGCTTGGCTGGGAACAGTGGTGGCGATGCAGTTTACTCCTTCCAGCCTCTGCTCCTTGCCTGTTGCCTCCTTCCCTCTCCAATGTTCCCCACTAATTGGAAGTGGGGGTAGGAGGGGAGACCTATGTGCCACTGCTGTCCTTGGCCAAGCCTGGCTCTCTATTCATCAACATGGGGCAGAAGCAGTTCAAGAAAGGCTCTAGGACTCTCTCCCAAGACTGCATCAGCTGGGGACAGGAGTGGCACTGTGCAGGTTATTCCTCCCAGCACCTGCTCCTGGCCAGTGGGGGAAAACTGCAAGGGACAGGAAGGGAACATGCATTGGAAGGAGGAACCTATGTGCTGCACAGGTGGAAGGTGGGTACAGCTGCACTGGCACACCCCTCTGTACCTCCCCCTATACCCAGTTCTACCTCTTCTCATTTGACCCAGGTTCTGCAGTCAGTCCTTTCCGAGCACCTGGATGCAACTGGGGACTGGATTCTGGGGAACTAAGTAAAACTGAATCCAGACAGGACAAAGGTGATGGTAGGTAGATTACTGAACCTGAGGTAGAAACTAGGACATATATCTTTGATGGGGTTCAGCCTCCCCTTCTCACTCATATTTGCAAACTTGGATCCTGCTGCACCTGGATCTTCATGTGGCAGTGGTGGCCAAGGGCACCAACTGGTGAGAAAGCTGCAATGTTTCCTTTCAGATCTGACCACCACCATCCTTTGCAACCTCAGGGTTGCCCTACTGCAGTGCACTTTACATAAGGCTGTCTTTGAAGACCATCCAGAAGCTGCAGCTGGTGCAGAATGTAGTGGCCTACCTTCTGCAGCAGAATGGCTCCCCTGAAGTGTATAATGCTGGCTGGAGTCCATACTGGCTCCCAATAGCTTTCCAGGTGAAATTCAAGTGCTGATTTTGACCTGTAAGGTCCTAAATGATCTGGGCCTTGCATATCTAAGGAGCTACCTTTTCCATTATACCCCATCACAATCCTTAAGGTCAGCAAAGAGCAACTCCTGCAAGTACCATCAATGTGCCAAATCTGTTAGGTGAAAATGCATGGAAGATCATTCTCAGAAGCTGTTCCTTCGCTCTGGAACTCCCTCTGTCTTGAGGCCTGCTACAGCCTGAACCTGGACATCTTTCAGAAGTGCTGCAAGATTTTCCAATTTGGGTAGGTATATAGCAAACAAAACTAGGCTGTGACAATGTTAATAGGGTCTTTGTTTTATGTTGATATTCTAGGTGCCTTTTTAGTTGTTTTTCTCTCTTGTTTGTTCTCCTGTTTTATAAGTTGCTCCATTCTCTTATTGTAAGTTGCTCTGAGCCTTTGTTAGGAGAGGCGACATGCACACTGAATAAAAATAAATAAATAAATAAATAAAGCAAGCAAGCAAATACCACCAGATTAACCTCCAGTTACTTTAACACCCCTTATTCTTAGGACACTGAACATGACAATTTCACTTAGAATGTGAACAGGAAGAATGAGGTAAAGTCAAGGAAGTAAAGAAATATGAAAAGCAGCTATTTATGTCACTATTGACATACATCACAATTTGGCAGTATTTAGGTCACTCCCAGGACTGTTTTTTTCTTCCACAAAGACTGATGCTGAATTAGTTTCCTCTTTAATTGCCTTGATGCATGAACACCACATGCCCCAGAGGCTGGGGGGGCATGATGAACTTCCGCAGGCAGCGGCAGCGCTATCGGCAGCAGGAGCATGGTGGTGGCAAGCGGGGAGCTTCTGCAGGTGGCCACAGCACTGTTGGCAGTGTGTGGGAGGGGTGCTGAGCACCAGCCACCAGTTGGCAACCATCCACAGATGCCACCGGCAGTGTTGGCGGCGGCCAGTGGTGACTGCGGACCACCCACAGATGCCATGGGGCAGGGGTGGGGGGATGGCGAGCAGTGACTGCCTGCAGGCGCCACTAGCAGTATTGACAGGGCCTTTCCGCAGGGGGTGCACCACCACGATTAGGGGGTGCACGTGCACCCACGTGCACCCCCTACGTGTTGCCAATGCCTTGATGTTTAGCTTATACCTGTTGTCTACTAGTTTTTAGGAACAAATTTTAAGTCCCTGACCTCCTGCTCTGTCAGTTCAATGCTAGAATTTTTATAGTTGTGGTTGCACCAATGATC